ACTACTTATGGTCTCTTTTTAAAACACAACAAACCCTGAAGAAAATGTGTGATGTGCTGGATCCCGTGCAGACAGACACACTAGATCAACCTCCAAAGCATCAGCAGACCGTTCATACCCTTCCACCGACAGTTTCATCTTGATTAGTTCTAGGCAGCACCTCACTCCATGGATCTCACCACTCTGAAGGAGCCAAATGCCTGCCTTTGCTTAAAACAAATCCCATGAAACATTCTGAATTGGCTTCAAATACACAGATGACTCATAATATCATGAAGTCAGATATTTTTTTTTAATCCTCTCAAACTCAAGTTTTGAATTCTATTAAGCTGGTGGCCAGAAAGAAGAAAGGACAATGGACCTAAGTGTGGAGTTTTTAAGAAAACAGCCCCCAAGTACATTTTATGAAACTGAAACTGTTCAACATAATGTGAAAAACTTCCTGAGAAGTATTACCCTTTTTATCATATATACCTAGGAAGTTATAGATGATATAACCAACACTAAAAGACCGGCAAGAGGAACCTGCCAAGTTTCAAAACTGTCCTCAAGCCACTCCTCTTTAATAACTGTTGGCAGCTACAGTGCTACTGCTTGCAGCTTGCTGGAAAAAAAAGTTTGACATACATCAGAACCACCAGCTTCCACCAAAAGGTGATAATTACAGTGTTTACCATATGATTATGCTAAGAACAAGGCCTCTTTCAGATGAAAACACGCCTAACAATCTCCTTATGTATCCATTGCTCCTGTAAACACTAAAACATCAAACGTTTGGTTGGACAAGAGTCAGAATGAAAGAATCGGTGCCTTGGCCATACAGACATTGGGAGGTGCTTCATCCATCCTACTTTACATTCTGCAGTCCCAAAGTACATGGTTTTCTGTTCCTGGTATATAACACTACATCAGAAAAGATTAGGAGAGCAATATTTATAGAAACACCAGTGTATGATTTTATTTATCTCAGTGGAAGAGTGGAAGGAAGGACACACAAAGTTAGCATCAGTATAAAATACCAGAGGAGATTTCTGGCTTGTCCACAAGCTCTGGAAAGGGTTCATATACAGCAAGTTCACCAGTGGTTCAAGTGTAAAGTTCTTACGTGGTATTGTAATAGACTAGTAATGCACACACCCATTACTTCCCTCAGCTGAGGAGGAGGAACTTACCAGTGTTAATGTCAAAGCAACCAAACAAGTGAGCATTTCAGTTTAACTTAAATCACTATTGACAGCTTTCAGTCACAAGGGTCATAAAGAGGGTGTAGAAATGAATGGTGGAAGTAATTCCCTCAACTACTAGAATTGTTTTCGGAGTGACTAACAATACCTTTTGTCTTGCCTCATACTACTTCTCAGATGCACATGCAAGAACAGACTTACTGGGGAGCTGTCAAGCCTGGTGCTGCCTGCTCCTGGGAGAGTTGATGGGATCAGCACCAACACATTGGCTAGGTCAAATGCATTGCTGCTTTGAATACTTTAGCACACTTCTTCCTCAACTGTGTGACAATTAATCATCAATACTGAACTAAATAGCAATCTTGTTAATCAACATAAGCATTTTTAAACTATTCAAAGATGAAGAACACAAAAATACAACTCCAGTATTTCTAAAAGGGAGGCCAACTGGCCAGCCTCCTCATCTTCCTCTCTCCTTTTGCTGGCTATTATTTTCTTCCCTTATTGATGCAATTGTGAATTCTACAGAATGGAGACAATAAGAAATGCACATCCAAGCTACACATGTCTAGTTACTTTTACTATCATATTTGTTCACCCTCCCTCTTTAAAACGACACACGCACATACTTGTGTTTAGCAAAGTCTTGCATTGTTTAGAATTATTATGCCCAATGTTTTGATCCTTCTTTAGCCTGACAACTTGCAAAAACTCGGTTTTGTTATCAGCTAGGAAGTGCAGTACAACTTACCGTAAGCGAGTAAGGGTAACTTCAGATTTGCGGTAAGATAAAATACTCAGTGCAAGAACAATTGCTTTTGGAGAATATGCTTTCATAGACTGTAATAACTTAGATTAAGTAACTCTAGGTACTTACCATATTTCTAAAGCATGGACAGTCTTAACATATTTGCCCTAGGGTACAAAGAATTTTTCTGCTCAAGAATCAATACTATGTTGTAAGAGTTGCTTTTCAAATTAACTTTTTTAAGGATAAGAAATGGCTAAGAATAGCTGTGAGATATCACTCTGCTGCTTATTCGGAAAAGTGATATACTCATTGAAAGGTTTCTTAAAAAGTAATGATATTCTTTGCTTTTAAAACTGTTTTCTCATGTTCTGGTGATTTAACTACATTTTATAGCTCCAGCAGCCCTGTACGTATGAGCACACTGAATACAGCAACGCATTTTTCTTTCCTAGAATGAGATAATCAATCTGAAGACAAATTAATACATCATAGAAATACATTTTCAGTTGACATAAGAATGATCAATAACACTCAATACTAGAGGTAAAATGCATTTTGATATTAGAAATGTATGAGATGTATGCAATAATGATGTTTCCGGACTCAGCTGTACAGCCCCCAATAAACTAGCAGGTCTATGTATGTTAAACTATACATGTTAACAGGCTTAGAATGAATATGTACAATTATACCAGTTTCTTCTAGTGAAAAATTAAACATGCATGGCATTTTTGGATCTCTTCTCTTTTTATAACTTGCCTCTCCTGTTGATGCCCATTAGCACTTTATATTTTGAGACAACACTTGCCAGATGTGTCAAGTTGCCAGGTTGTAGGCACTACACTACATGCTGCATTGCTGTGTGCCAGCAATGACTGCAGTGACCCAACCCAGCTAGAGAGGGCTCCATCTTTGCGCTACTTTTTTCCTTAGGGGGAAGGTGTGAGTTATAAAGTAGAATTCAAGGTGTTTCCCACCTATAGCCATGTTTCCCAAGAGGCACTGAAAAGACTGAGTCTCTGTATAATTACGGAAGACATTGTCTGGGGATGCCAACTGCCCTGAAATATATGAAAGTTTTTAACTCACTAAACGTGTTTCAACTCAGCAGCATGCTTATCTAAAAAACAAAATATTACTTTTGATGTTTTAGGTATGCAAAAATTCAGAGATAAGGTAATGCTAAAACCTTACAGGTTTGGGCTAGAGCAGTAAAGTTTTTGTTTTGTCTGTGAAGCGATTCTGAAAATAAATTTGTTAAGGCTTTTTCAAACTCAGTCTTAAAATTTTGCTACTGCAATATATATTTAAATAAAGCTTTTATTAACCCTTTTATGAAGAAACAAGCTTAAAATCTGTTGACTCATACACAAGTTACAAGATAAAACACATTTGTTTCCAGAAGCTTTGGTGTCACTTAGTGTGTTTTCTGGAGAAAGGATTTGATGATTCAATGTTCAGGCAACATTTTTTCTATTGCATCATAGACTATATCCTCTATTTTTTGTCATAAGTAGTAATGAATTACTTTTTGTAAAGAACAGAAATGTTTCACACTGAAATAGATTAAAAGTCACTCCAGTCAAAATCTATGCTAACGTGTCTCCTGTTTACTACACTTAGTGACACTGTAAGCACCTGCGCTGTCTCCCAACACACATACACAACTCAAAACTACCACTTCAGACAACGACCTACTGCATCATATTATGATCAATTAAAAAACCCCACTTCTTTAAGACATAAATCCATTTTAAAAAACCTAGATCTTAGTGCAGTGGGATAAAAACCCATAAATATGGAAGAAGCGTTCAGTGCCCTTCATTGTTTATTGCCCTTTATTCACCCTCAGCAAAATCCATGTAAGGAAAACATTTTACCACTTCTTGATGTGTTTCCTAGTTAACTATAGAAAGTTTACCATACCCTCCAGATAACATATGAATGTGATGCCACCTAAGAAATAAGAGACAGCAACAATCTGAGAGTCAGACAGAAGCCTTTCATACAGTGAAGAACTAGAAGAAAACAGAAAGAAAAAGCTCCCCTCAAAAGGTTTCTTCCTTTAAAATTAATTTTTGATCTGTCAACTTTTAGTAGGTGATGAAATATCACACAACCTAAAAAATACTGCACATAATATATATCTACATATATATTTTTATATGCACACAAATAAAATTTGGCAAAAATAGAACATTTAAAGTTAATATTTATCCAGTCAATGATAATTGCAGGTGTAGCCATGAGGAAGCTCTTTTCTGCAGCAGGCATTCAGTGTGTTCACATGCTTAATGCTCTTAAACTCCCAATTACTTTCAGTGGTAGAGTCAGTACCTTTTAAAATTACACACTGCTTATGTGAGAGTGAACAGTCACCATGCCATCCCTGATGAACAATGCAGGACATGAAATAGCCCATGGATTTCTTGTACCACCCAAATAGCCAGAAATCTAATTGGGGCAGAGGAAAACAAACTATGATAAATACATCCATATGAGTTAGGAGGGAAAACAAGGAAAAAAAACCAAACAGTATGGGATTTCAGGAAACAAACATAGGTAGCGATCCATGTAATGCTTCTACCCAATGCATTAGTGAAATACCATTTTTCAATTACCAGTCTGCTATATTCTTTCCCATTAACAGGGTGGTTTCAAAAGCTACTGAACTGTATCTTTGATGTTCATGATAACCATTCCTAACTCTTTGTGAGCTACACTACTTAAATCCCCTCAAACGTCTGTTTATTTTCTCTTGTAACATATTCTTACTGTGTGAGATTAGCAAACACAGAGTAGGCCTTCAGGCACTAAGACTGTAAGTTAGCCTAATCTCAAGAAAACAAGATGTGCACTTAACCATAAATATTTTTTTCTTATAATCACATCAAACATAACATACCTGGTATTCAGTTTTATATAAACTAGTTCTTACGACAGGTCTACTTCTGAGGTTATCCAAAACTTGATCACATAACATTATTTTTACTCTTCCAGGTCTGAATAATATTTACAGACATTAATGCTATATCCATTTCTACAATCATTCGAGACACATTATATAACTTTATTTTTTTATTTGACAAGCAGCAGTATCATGTTCGTCTTTTTTTTTTTTACATTTTAATGTAGATACAATTATTAGGTTATCTGTCATATTACAATATTTAGGTTTTTTGTTTTTGTTTTTTTACTTTGTCTTAAGATACATTAAAAAACATCAACTGCAAACGTGAAAGGGGAGGGGGGAAAAAAAAAAAAAGCATGGTACCCAACCAATTTTCCACATTTCAGCAATACCTCACTCATTCTTTTAGTAAAGTTTTAAGAAATGTCATAATGACATGAGCTTGAAATATCTATAGGCATTTTCATTGACGCTCATGACATGGCACTGGTGATGTTGTAAACAGCAGAAAAACAGGGGCTGCCAAGTGACCAATTATGGAGGCACAGGCCTGCCTCTTCCCACAGGAACACACCAAACAGTGACAGCAATGATCTCCTTACAATCATACCTGCAGGATAGCAACATCATGCTACATAACTGTATTCGTCTGCAGAGGCCTGGCTTCGCTCTATGTACTGTTTGTCTATCAGAACTTCAATACACTTCTTAATCATGCTGATACTTGGGTTAAACCTAGCTCTTGATTGGCTAATTACCTGCAAAATAAAGACATGGTTTTTGTGTTATTTTTTATTTACAACAGTTATAAATGCTATAGAAATATTTGCTAAGGACTTTAAGGCAAATTCAGTATATTTTTTCTTTTAAAGACAGGATTAAACAAACCTGGAATAGTTCATTTATAGAAATCAACAAAGCTGCTCTACACATTAGTGTAAGGACACTTAAACTGACTGCTCAGCTCATTGATTCAGTTGCCTGCATGTTAACCACATCTCTTCAGTCCTCTTGCTTGCTTAATTTGTCACGGTACAAATGAAAATAAATGCTCAGGTTAAAAATTAATCTAATGTTAACACATTTCTTCACTTCACTATTATCACAAGTGAAAATTTTGTAAAATGGTATGTGCCTTTCCCTGCTGGCTTTGCTAACTGACTTCTCTCCCTGTACTAGGTCACTTTCACTTCTGTTTAGGTACTTTCATTGTTCTGCAGTATTCAATTTATGGACTCTCAAACTTTGTTTAAATTATGGCAGTCTTACTTGGAAATTAAATGCCTGAAGAATGTGTTAATTTTATTTTTCATAATAGTTTATACGATTCTGAGTCGTTAAATTTTACTTGATTGTATTTTTCAAAACTACCTCTAAAGCTGAATGGCATTTTCTTCTCATTCATCACCACTTTTGTTATCATCAAAAGATAGAGAAGATATTTTCATTTAATAAAGATTTGTGAAACCTGTGCTTTCTTTATAGCATTAAAAAGACATGTTTAGAAGACAGGGAGGCAGGTACATAGCAAATTACCAAAAAAATCTAAGTATTATAAGACGACCTTATTCATGCTTGAATAGCACAGTTTAAATATATTAAAAATGCAACCTATCCTCAGAGATTCTACTGCACTAGACAATCATATTTGCAAGAAAAAAACACCACTTTTTCAGAAAATTTGCTGAGAAGCCCTAGATGACATTTTTAATCACAAAAGACACAGCCTAAGTAGTAACCATTTTGTAAAGTTACAGTACTTCATTGCTGCTGTGGCTGGCAGGATATGAGATGTGAGCTGGATTTGTTGTGTTTTGTCTAAGTCCTAACCCAGTAGTGCTGTATACCTGGTCTTGGAACTGCTCAGCTGCCTGGAAAGCGTCAATGGAGTCCCCCCAACACTGATCTCCTTTCCTACACAACTTCAGACAATCAGGATCAAACTCTCTTTCTTCAGTCATTGAAGATAGCCCTACGATTTGGCAAGCTCCATCTGGCTATGCTGGAACTTTGTAATATATAGTAAAATATTACTTATTGTAAAAACAAGTCTATGTATGCATTATGGAAGAAACTGCAGCTGTAGGCAAAACTTTAGATGTCTCTTAATAGTCCTCATTTTTGTTCATTCTCTTGTAGAAAACAGGAGGAAAAGGTGTGTAGTAACACAAAATGCATATCTATCAACTTGGAAAATTTTTCACATTTTACTTTTTTGGCCAACCTGCAGCAAAGATAATTACTATTACTTTCTCCTTTCTACTTCTTAGCAATAGTGAAGCAAACAAAAGACGCTCAAATGTCTCAATATATTTTTCCTGTAGTTTCTCATTTGTTCTGTAAAGAAACTGATTTTTCTTTCAGCTGTATTTCCTATTTTCTTCACAACTTCTCACAGCTGGCTTGGTCCCAGCTCTAGAGCTTGTTGGAGCCCTCTGTGAGCCAGCAGAACTCACCAGGTAGAACTCACCCAGCAAAGCAAACAAAAAGCTCGAAAGACCAAGTTTTGTTGGGCTAGCAGCCAAGGGTCTGGTATGTTCCACAGCAGTACAAATAAGAAGAAACTTGGTGCTAACAAGCTAATACATCTGCTTGGATTTCACCTAACTTCAGCCCTACACTCAAAATGATTGTCATCATCATACTTCATATATATACTTAGGACAAGGAGAACAAAAGATAGAATTTTGTATTGGTGGGGTGTTTTGGTTTTGTTTTTCTTTTATCAAAGATAATACAAATAAGAAGGATAGATAGAAATACCTGATGGTCAGAATAAAACAAACAAAAAAAAATAATCAGGGAATGACCACACTGACCTTTCCCCTTCACTACTCCCACTGACCTTATTGATTTTAAGGGAAAATCTACCCTGTCCTGTGACTTTAGCATGGAGCTAGAAGTAAAACTACCAGGGCATATATAAGGCAATTAACAATTCAGCAAAGACCATGTGCTGACATATACAGGTCTACCAAGGGTCCTGAGTATTTTCTCGGGAGACTTCACCCTAAATGAAATGTGTGGTGCTGTAGTATAACCGTTAGAATCAGAGCTAACTACATTAAGACTAGGAGTCTTTCAATCATATCTCTAACAACAGTATAACCCTGCACCTGTATCTCAGAAAAAAACATTAATGAGGCAAGAAAATATTAACCATCCATAGTAAGCAGACTTCCTTTCAAAAGATTCATTCTTCTTCCTCAAGAAGTCAGACTATAGATTTTAAGTGAATACATTATTTATGAGAATATAAACATCATGATGAAAGTAACAAGAACTATGTATATATGTCACCATAATTAGTAACAATATCAGAAACTAATGTTTTAAGAAATAAAAAGGCTCTTGACAGTAAATCAAATCTTACTACAAGGTTAGCAGGGAAAAAAAGGAAGTTGGACAACCAAGAAGTTAGTTATGCATACTCCAAAAGTTTAATAGAAGTGATGGTTATTCATTTTTAAAAAAAGGTCAGTTTAGTGAGAAAGCTGAGCATGTACAACTCAGAACCACCTGGCAGTTTGACCTTATTCATACAACATGAAGCAAAACAAGTTACTGAGCTCAATGCACACATAATTAGGTAAAATTTCCACTTAACATGAGGTTTTCATATTTGTGTTTAAGCATTAAGTATACAAAAGCCTGTCTCCCCACAATTTGCTTTAAAACCTGGCAATTAATTTCTGAAGTACCTAAGAAAATATCTGTATCATACGATCACAGAATGGTTTGGGTTCGAAGCAACCTTAAAGATCATCTAGTTCCAAGCCCCCTGCCATGGGCAGGGACACCCTCCACTAGACCAGGTTGCCCAAAGCCTCATCCAACTTGGCCTTGAACACTTCCAGGGAGGGGGCATCCACAGCTTCTGTGCCAGTGCCTCACCATCCTCACAGTGAAGATTTTCTTCCTTATATCTAATCTGAATCTCCCCCTCATTCAGCTTAAAGCCATTATCCTTTGTCCTGTCACTCCATGCCCTTGTAAAAAGTCCCTCTCCACATTTCTTGTAGTACCCTTCAGGTACTGGAAGGCTGCTATAAGGTCCCCCCGGAGCCTTCTCTTCTCCAGGCTGAACAACCCCAACTCTCTCAATCCGTCTTCACAGGAGAGGTGCTCCAGCCCTCTGATCATCTTCGTGGCCTTCTCTGGACTCGGTCCAACAGCTCCATGTCTTTCTTGTACTGGGGACCCCAGAGCTGGATACAGTACTCCCAGTGGAGTCTCACAAGAGCAGAGTAGAGGGGAAGAACCCCCTCCCTTGACTCGATGGTCACACTTGTTTTGATGCAGCCCAGGATGTGGTTGGCTTTCTGGGCTGCAAGTGCACATTGCTAGCTCATACTGAGCTACTCATCCACCAACACCCCCATGTCCTTCTCTTCAGGGCTGCTCTCAATCTATTCACCACCCAGCCTGTAGCTGTGTTTGGGCACAGTCTCACAGACCACAGGGAAGACACCTAACGTTTTAAAGAATCAAGCTCAGGTCCCAGTAACAGTTCAGCTAAGACAGCATGGAGACTGGCATAAATTAATTCAGACCTCAAAAAAGCAGGAAAATTTACCCCAATGGATTTTTGTATGACTTCACCTTACTGCTTGAGGTTTCACAATTGCTCATTTAAGGCTACATCAGGTCTCCACACTATATTACAGTGTAGATATCAATTATTTAGAAGTCTAGCCTTCAGTTTTAAATGCTCTAATCCACCTAGGATATAAGTAGTATTAAAAACTGAGAACTAACAGCTAAGTGACAAAGGATATGATTTTCAAAAGTGTCATAAATTTAGTTAAAAGTTAAGGTAAAAAAACCCAATACAGGTAGATGTGGCTGGTGATAAACAGAGCACCAACTTTACTCCCCACTCAGTTTTTAACCACGTAACAATCAAAATATTCACCTTTCATGCCAAAGTGAAAAAGTTCCTGATGTTAATAGACTGTACTAGTCTGCAAGAGTAAACTGCAGCAGAGGCATGTCAGTGCCTCCTGAGTTAAACAAAGGAAGAAGCAACCAGAAACAAAAATTTGTGATCTGTTCCACCCTTATAAACTGGTCTCAACCAAAGTAAACTGTGTTGGGTTTGTGTGGCAAGGTTTTGGTAGCTGGGGGGGGCTACAGGGGTGGCTTCTGTGAGAAGCTGCTAGAAGTTTCCCCTGTGTCTGATAGAGCCAATGGCAGCCGGCTCCAAGACGGACCCGCCGCTGGCCAAGGCCAAGCCAATCAGACCCCCTGTGATAAAATACTTACGACAA